GACGACAGAAAGAAAACAACTTGTTAATTTGATCATAAAAATATAAATTATCTTAGTTTGCACCATTATTACGTCAACAGCTTGTGCTAGTTTTGTGTTTCTATCAAATTTTAATATAAACCTAATAGCGTTCTATCACGAATGCCGTTCTCTAACTGGCTACGCTACTCGCTATCTATTCTGTTGTAGCTAGTGAGTAACGTTGCAGCGAGCGGTTGTGGACAAAATGACGGCCACTTCTTTGTCTTCTTCTTCTTATTTTTTGTTCCTCTGCCAATTTACCCCACCCCTTTCATTGCTGAAGATTCTTCTGGAGGTTCGTTAAAAGAAAATAAATAAATCATCCGGCAAACGTGCAAATTAAGAAATAAATAAACAGGAAAATAAATAAAGAAAATCAAACCGTAAATGCAAGTAGTGAATTTCTAAACGAACGAGTCCAAGCTCGACAAGGCAACAATGTCCTCAGGCAACGAATTCCATTTGCTTATTGTGCGTGAAGAAAAAAGAGTACTCGTGGTAATTGGTTCTTGAATGTGAAACTTTATATGCGTGTGAATTTAAGTGCCTGCCAGCCCTACGCATGGAAGATAGCTCTGGCATTCCATCTGAAGCCACTAGACCATAGTGTAGCTTATACAACATGCAGAGTCTAATTACTTTCCTCCTGCTTTGAAGAGATTTCCATTCCAGCTGATCAAGTATTTCTCTTACACTAGCGGTAAGATTGTACTTCTTGAATACAAAGCCTGCAGTTCGTCGTTGTTCAATTTCTATTTTCCCGAAGTTTATTAGTTGTTGCTGTATAAATCAAAAAAATCACTTCTAATAAGGGTCGAATTAAGCCAAAATAAGCTAATGTCTTGATCTTAAGAGCGTTCATTTGTAGATTTCCTTTCGGGGAAGCAAGTACTATTGGCTTGGCAGGTAATGTTATCAATATGACTGTTCCAACTGTTCACGAAATAGTAACACCCACAATTAGCGACACAATTTATAATTATCGCGCAATAAACTGTGAAAAAGACCCCGCTCCCCCATTCAATGTTGCTTTTTTTGTCACTCAGATCACAGCAATTGCCGCAAAACATTGTTTGGGGGGAGGGGGGCTGAAAGGACAAGCTAGGAGGGTAAAAAGGGATCGCAGTGATGAAATAGGGCGTTAAGAAGGTCAACGTGTCGACAATTTTGTCGCAGATTGTAGCACAAGCTGTTGACGTAATGATCGCGAGAGCAAAGAAAACTTACATTTTCGGATGACCAAAGTAAACAAGCTGTTTTCTTGCTTTCGTCACGGAATTTTCTAAAAGAAATAGTAAACGTGTTCTCTCTGTTTCTACCTGGTCATAGAAACTTTCGTGGAATTTTGGGAGAACGCGAAAAAGGTGTGAAAGCATTCGCCTGTCGGCTCGTGCAGTCCCACAGCATTTCTCGCTCTCCCAAACTTCCACTTGTATTTCTGTAACTCGAGAGAGACACGGGACTTGCTTTTTATTTCTTAAGTATTGTATCGTACTTTATATAATAACTCAAATTATTCCCTCATTTTGATTGGTTCTCATCTATCATCTGTTAGAGGACAGACGCACAGATGACGTCGATACTACAAACATTTAAAATGGCGGAAAATTTTGGGAATTTAGGTAATATTTTACGTGACTGGGCGAAGGAAAATACAGAAAGAAGTCTTTTCGAGATTGTAAAAGGTATGAGAAGCGGGAATAAGAAAGAAGAGCACGTTTCTTTAAACAAAAAGACTCAGACAGAATACTCAAGCAGTCTCAGTCGAGCGAGACTAAACAAAACTCAAAATGGGTCCTGAAGTAATTTCAAGGCAAGAAACCATGGCCTTGCCTCGAATTTAACAAAGAAACCCAATAAGCAAAATCTTTTAGAGATTGATTTATTTCAAAAAATCAAATTTTGGGAATCTCAAAATAATTGTTTACTCATATTAGTTTCTGGAAAGAAGCATCACAACACCCCTTCTTAAAATGAACCCATAAGTTTGCTTCCCGACGCGAATGGATTTCCACCCGGATAAAGGAGCACGACCATATCCTCCCAATAACCAAACCCTCCAATTAGTTGACACTTCCAAGGTACCCCCTATTTCGTCACTGTGATCCCTTTTTGCCCCCTTGGCTTGTCCTTTCAGCTCCCCTCCCCCCCTAAACAATGTTGTGTGTCAAAATAGCCCTTTTCACGGTTAATTTTTCTCATTTGTATTACAATGTAATACAAAGTCAATGCGAGGCAATTTCGGGCTAAAACTACGAAATAGCCCGAAATTGCCTAACATACATGCTAGATTTTATTGTAATGCAAATAAGCAAAGTCAACCGTGAAAAGGGCTATTGCTGTGACCTTCAGGTACAAACAAGCAACATTGATTGGAGGAGCGGGGTCTTTTTGATAGTTTATTGCGCGGTAAAAAGAGTGGTGTTATTTGGTGTACTATTGAAAGACAATGTGGCAACCAATTATGTCACTGATTGTGAGTGTTACTATTTCGTGAACAGTTGGAGCAGTCATATTGATAACATTGCCTGCCAAGCTAATAGTAATTGCTTTCCTCAAAGGAAATCTACATATGAACTCTCCTAAGATCAAAACATTAACTTATTTTGGCTTAATTCGACCTTTTTTAGAAGTGATTTATGTATTTATGTATTTATTTATTTATTTATTTATTTATCTTTTAATTTATGCAGCAACAACATGGGATCCTTACACCGAAATAAACTTAGAATGCAGAATGAATTCTTAAGAAATACCGGAGCAAGCTTGAATGCTTGATTTTTGAAATGCTCCTGATCAGGAAGAGAAGTCTGAAGCTCAATACTCAAAGTGACTCTATTCACGCTAAACTCTTTGTGTAAAGCCTTGCGATTTCCAAAGATTCTCTAAAAGTTGTCCCAGGGCCAGACGACAGCTTTCGAACATTTTACGAGAATTTCCGAAGATTCCCAAAAATTTTCGAAAGTGTCCGGAGGTAACCGAAGATTGCCAAAAACTTCCAAAGAAAATTTCAAGATGCTTCGATCATACACTAACAAGTTTAAGTGCAGTTAAAGGGACAAGCCAAGTGGCCCATCAGGCTGGAGTTTATCCCGGTATCTGTTGCATGAAGCGAGTAAGAGTATTTCTTCTCTCCCCTGGATGGGATGCTAGTCCATCGCTACCCACTACGTTTGCCGGTATCCACTTATACACCTGATTGGAGAAAGGCTCTGTGAGAGTAAATTGTCTTGCCCAAGAGCACAACACAATGTCGCAAGGGATGGCTCGAACCCGGACCGCTCGATCCAGGGACGAGCGCACTAGCCATGAGGCCACCGCGGCTCCCACTAAAGGAACAAAAACGATTTCAAAAATGATATCACACATATGTGAATAAAACTGATATCTTACATGTTGGATATCGTTTCTATTCTCAGCGGTCTTAGCTCAGCGTATACAGGAGTTACCAAATTAGCATTTTACCACTTCGAACTAAAATTGTAAAAAGATACACACCTAGATATCTCTCCCTCCATCTCTTTGGAGCTATTTCCGTTGACATGTATTTAGAACAAGTTCCTCAAGCGTCGGTCAACCCAATCGCCAACGTCATTATTATATTTGTATGCTGTTCTGCTCCTGCTGCTGCTCCTCTTGCAGCGCCTGTGGCAGCTCCTGCTACTCTTCTTGCCATGGCTCTTGTTGCTCCTCCTGTTGCTCCTGTTGCGGCTCCTCATGTCGCTGCTCCTTAATCCCGTAAAGCTCACAGCGGAAACCTTTTGGGACCGCTGAAACAAATACAAAACTATTCAATCATTGCTTACTACTTGGAAGATTTTACAAATACTCTTGTAAGTGCAAAAATCTTCGACCATCCTCAATAGAATACCTTAATCAGGTTAGATGCAATTTAAAGATAGAAAACACGTTTCAATTATTACGGGAACACAAAACGCATTCCAACAAAAGTGGCGCAAAATACTCCAGTCACTAGAACTCCCTGATCTCTCCTTTGAACTTTAGTTTAAACCGGCAATTTAATTGAGTGATATTTGGTTTCTCCTTTTCATTTGAACAGCTTTGATTTCTATTTCTCATGGTTATCATGGCTAGCGGTATTGCTCGTGGGCGTGCGCTCACGACAGCGACGACTGGGGCTTTCCACAAGTTGCTCGGGATTTTCCAAAAAGTTGCCTGCAATTTCTCAAAACGTTGCTCATTGAAAGTCAAAAGTTGCTTTATGTAACGAAAGTTGCTCAAAAGTTGCTCTGAAAAATTGTTGCCCTCCTCCTTTATTTGGTCTGATGCAAAAACACAACCAAAATTAAATTTCTAAGCATTTTTGTGCAATTTTGCGGCGTAACAAGCGTTGCTAAATAGCTTTGTTCTTAATTGAAACCAAACTAGAAACTATCAGGCATACGATCGTGGTCCACGGCTTTATTCGTTGTTATTTTCAAGATTGTCTAGGGGACAGGACTTTCACTAGACAAAGATCTAGAAACACAGCTTTTCCTTCGCGTCGCCCACATCAGCAACATGTTTTCAACTCACTGGGTATCATCCTGGGTTGACTTGCAACGAAGGTCGCTCTACCGTAAAAACCATACAATTAGACCACCCGAGTTAGAGCACATAGTCTTCGAACACGGACGACGAAATCGCGCCAACGTAGCATTCTGATACAAGAATGAAATGGATCGGACTAAAAAATAAAGGACCATTTTCTTGAGGATAAAGCATTCAGCTTTGTTCTAATATGTATTTTTTCCACAGTGGCCATTAACATGGCTAAAGAAATCATTAAGCGTTTCAGCCACTTCATTCTGGTCTCTGATAATTCTGTCATTTTCTTTGAGAACAATACTGCTGTTATTGTAGTCTATGAATTACGGTAAACTAAAGTCACTAAAACTTTCTTCCATCTGCATGTTTTTCTTTGCAGAGTTTCTTGAAGTGTTTTAAACATCTTGAAACGTTTAATTTCTTTTCCTCAGGGAATGTGCTCCGTCGGCGTCTTTCCATATAACCCTGTACGATGAAGAATTTCGTTTCGTGGCTAATCATCTTATTAATTCAGGCTTCATATGTTCTAAATGCGGGACGTCCATACCCAAACCTCACTACAGCTGCAGCGTCTGTAGGTTTTGCATGCCTGGTACCTATAGCAACCGTTTTTCTTCTCGTTGGAAATGTCCCGCAGGTAACTGTGAAGAGTTTTCTGATATATTAATTGCGTTCTATGTCTGAAAATGGCGCCAAAAACATAAAATTTTAGTATGACAAAAGCCTTATGCATGATGACGTCACACTATCTAATTTCACCCTCAAGCACCAGTTTGAGAGAACAAGCATGAAAACGTTTCTGAGACAATCTCTTTAAGCCGTAAAGATAAAAAGCATAACTCAGTAAAATAAGCATGAAGGAGTCGGAACTTTGAAAAAAATCATGTGAACCATCATACTTGGATTAGATGAACTTTCACCATGCGTCGTACCCACGCATATAAG